TCCCGGGTTTTTTCCAGCTCTAACGCAGTCTCCGCATGGGCGGCCTCGGTCTCATGCAGTTTTCGCTTTAGACTCAGTTGGCTAAATACCTCTTCTTTCTCCATTGGTATCTCCATTTCTCCTTCTAGGATCAGGGGCTGCGAGGCAAAGGAGAAAAGAATCATAATCATTTGAAATGGGTTGCCAATTGCACTAATTATTTAAGACCCATTCTCCAAAACCAGAAGTGAACCTCTGGCTGTTTCCTTCCCTCCCATTGTGGTCTACACAAGTATACTCTGCTAAACTTGGTTAACCCCCAAACCTACCTGAATTTGATGGGAGTGAGGCTCTTCCTCTCTTGTTGGGTTTTCCACAATGGTTGACTTCTCCTGCGGAGAGTCAACTTCCTGCGCAGTTGCGAGGAGCAGACGCACTTTCTGTTTCAGCTCCTCATTATGCGCTTTGGGGAAGAGAAAAAAAAGCTCAGAAGAGTTCATGAGGTTTATCAAAATGGGTTTTGGTGGATCATTCCCTTGCTATGACTTTGTCCTCCTTAATCCCCATTGTATAACTAATGATGATGAGAAACTGGCTTATGGTGTGAGAGAATTGGCTGTCTGTATTGTCAAAGGCTTTCATGGCCAGAATCACTGAGTTGTTGTAGGTTTTTTCGGGCTATATGGCCATGTTCTAGAGGCATTCTAGAATGCCTCTAGAGAACATGGCCATATAGCCCGAAAAAACCTACAACAACCCAATTGGCTGTCTGCAAGGATGTTGCCCAGGGGATGCCCAGATGTTTTGATGTTTTAACATCCTTGTGGAAAGATTCTCTCATGGCCCCGCATGGGGGGCTGGAGCTGACAGAGGGAGCTCACCCGCTCTCCCTGGATTCAAACCTCAGACCTGTCGGTCTTCAGTCCTGCCCACACAAGGGTTTAACCCATTGCACCATTGGGGGCAATAATTGACTTATTTTCAATGAATCAATAGCAAACTATCCCCCCCCCCCCCCATTTAATTAAAACTCCATTATTTAAAAATTAATAAAAGTTTGTTAATCCAATAGATTTCAGCCTTCCCAATGTCAACAATAACTGATTAATGTCCTCATTCTCAATTATAAGCATTGATGGGATATAGTCGAAGGCTTTCATGGCCAGAATCACCGGGTTGTTGTAGGTTTTTTTGCGCTGTATGGCCATGTTCTAGAGGCATTTTCTCCTGACGTTTCGCCTGCATCTATGGCAAGCATTGTCAGAGGTAGTGAGGTCTGTTGGAACGAGGTAGTGAGGTCTCTGGAACTAGGAAAGTGGGTTTATATATCTGTGGAATGATCAAGGTGGGGCAAAGAACTCTTGTCTGCTGGAGCTAGATCTGAATGTCTCAACTGACCACCTTGATTAGCATTTGATGGCCTGGCAGTGCCTGGGGCAATCTTTTGTTGAGAGGTGATTAGATGTGCCTGATTGTTTCCCCTCTGTTGTTTTGCTGTTGTAATTTTAGAGTTTTTTTTAATACTGGTAGCCAGATTTTGTTCATTTTCATGGTTTCCTCCTTTCTGTTGAAATTGTCCACATGCTTTGTCTCCTACCCTGGTCATTCCACAGATATATAAACCCCTTTTCCTAGTTCCAACAGACCTCACTACCTCTGAGGATGCTTGCCATAGATGCAGGTGAAATGTCAAGAGAAAATGCCTCTAGAACATGGCCACACAGCCCGAAAAAACCTACAACAAACCATTGATGGGTTAATTTTTAATCCTAATATTCCAGGTTTTGTTTTTACCATCACACAGAATACAGCAAGTGTCTTATATGTTTATTTGCATTTCTGGTTGTGTTTGCACATTACAATACATCATGGTATGGTTAACTGAAACCTGGTTTGTTCTGATGTAAAACTTGCTTCTGTTAAACAGCTATGATCAACCAGACACAAACCACAATCAGAAGCCATGGGTGTTGGTTAATGTTTTTGGCTTATGGATGCTGGCTTAGAATCATAGAATCGTAGACTTGGAAGAGACTTCACGGGCTATCCAGTCCAGTCCCCTGCCAAAAAGCAGGAAAATCGCATTCAAAGCACCCCCGACAGATGTCCATCCAGCCTCTGTTTAAAAGCCTTCAAAGAAAGAGCCTCCACCACACTCCGGGGCAGAGAGTTCCACTGCTGAACAGCTCTCACAGTCAGGAAGTTCTTCCTCAAGTTCAGATGGAATCTCCTTTCCTGGTAGTTTGAAGCCATTGTTCTGAGTCCTGGTCTCCAGGGCAGCAGAAAACAAGCTTGCTCCCTCATCACTATGACTTCCCCTCACATATTTATACATGGCCTCATCGTATCTCCTCTCAGTCTTATCTTTTGCAGGCTAAATATGCTCAGCTCTTTAAATCGCTCCTCATAGGTCTTGTTCTCCAGACCTTGATCATTTTAGTCACCCTCCTCTGGACACATTCCAGCTTGTCAACATCTCCCTTCAATTGTGGTGCCCAGAATTGGACAGTGTGATTCCAGGTGTGGTCTGACCAAGGCAGAATAGAGGGGTAGCATGACTTCCCTGGATCTAGACACTATGCTCCTATTTATGCAGGCCAAAATCCCATTGGCGTTTTTAGCTGCTGCATGACATTGTTGGCTAATGTTTAACTTGTCAACAAGTTGTTCACGGGGACTCTTGTTTAAATCCTTTTTTGTTGTGTCATCTTTGCTTTGTCCTTGGCTCATTTCTTCAGTTACCTATCCTGAAATAGGAGCTAACAAATGACATGGCAGAGAAACAGACCAGAAATGGACCTCAAACTTGGTTTGGTCACCTGCTATGCATGGCTTAAGCAACAAACTATGGATATGTATTGTCAAAGGCTTTGGATACCACAAACCCTTGTTTATTGTGATTTCTCAACGAAGCCCCGTAATCAGTCCTCATAGAATGCCAGTTGGCAGCCAACTCCTCACCTATTTCTTTTTCTAGCTGCTCCTCAAGCCTTTTCTTCTCTGCGGTCATCAAGGCAAGTTGAGCTTCTGGACAAGGAGCGTTGTCCTTCTGGGGCACCTCATCCACATTTTGCTGGGTAGCGGTCATGCAACTAAAGACACACAGATGAAGCTGGGGAGAAAACTCACATGATTTCATAACATTGAGCCTTGGCAGTTGACGTGATGTCAAACTGTATTAATTCTACAGTGTAGATGCACCCTGTGGATTTGATTGCACTTTAACTGTCATCATACAAAATCCTGGAATTTATATTAAGGCTATCTCGACTTAAATAGCCTTAGAGCTTTATTCAAAGCAAAGGGATGCAGAGTCCCTCACCAAACTATGTATCTCATGATTCCAAAGAATGGTGCTATGATTGTTAAAGCAGTGCTAAATTGGTCTAATGCTTCGGTGCAGATATACCCTGTTTTATGTTGTCATAAAAAAAAGATGACAACAAGATGACCATGCTGTGACGCAACTAGTTAGTAGCCAGCTGCATTAAATCACTACTAACCAAGAGGTCATGAGTTTGAAGCCAGCCTGGGTCGGAGTGAGCTCCAGACTATTAATAGTCTAGCTTGCTGTTAACCTATGCAGCCCGAAAGACAGTTGCCTCTGTCAAGTAGGATATTTAGGTACCACTTTATGCAGGGAGGCAAATTTAACTAATTTACGACACCATAAAACCTTCCAGCAGCGTGCATAAGAATGAGGAAGTACTCCATGAAGGACTCGGTGTCACAAGTGGACAGTGAAGCAGCAGCTCCCCCAGTGGCCGGAATCAAGCATACTGTCATGAAACTGGAAAGCTGGAATGTTACATTGCCTCTGTGTCTGTCTATATATGTTGTACGTCTAATGGCATTTGCCATGTATATATGCATTGTGGACGCCCTTCCCATGGATATTAGACTAGCTTCATCATTAATGGTATTCCACAAAAAAGTGAGGACCTGGTTGTTTGAGCAGGCGTTCGAATAGTCAGTGCAATGAGTGTTGTTGTTAATTGTATATTATTGTATAAAGTGTTATGATGTTAACTGTTTTTATGCCGTGTTATTGTAGTATCGAATTTTTGCTGTTCTGTTGTTAACTGCTGTGAGTCGCCTAAGGGCTGAGAACAACGGTATACAAATAAAGTAAATAAATAAATAAATAAATAAATAAATAAATAAATAAATTGTAATCCGCCCTGGGCCTCCTGCGGAATGAGAAGGGTGGAATATAAATACTGTAAATAAGTAAATAATGAATAACAAATGGCACGTTTTGAGGGCTATAAATGTTAAAAAGAGGACAGGTAGAAAATCTCACCTCTCAAGGAGCTTGTCATAATCCATCTTCAGCAAATCCCGTTCGGTCTCCAGGTCACGGACGCGCTCCTGAAACTAAGAAAGGAACATACCCTCCTATATTTCATAGAGGAAAACCAGGACATGTATGCTGAGCAACATCAGAGTGCAACCCAAAGTTTCTAAGACTTGGGTTAGCAAAGATTGCCTCGGGGAGCGTGCTTGCTCCATCAATGTTCACACTTAAACGTATGATCAGCCACTGCCAGAAGGGACAGAGTTTAATCTATGCTGACGATCATGCCATCACTGCTCAAGCAAGGCACTTTGAAATGGTTGAACAGAAGCTCTCCAAAGCTTTAGGTGCTCTTACTGCCTATTATCGGGGAAACCAGCTGATTCTTAATCCATCCAAAACCCAGACAAGTGCTTTTCATCTTAAGAACAGACAAGCATCTTGAGCTCCGAGGATTACCTGAGGAGGAATCCCACTGGAGCACTGCAGCACATCAAAGTGCCTGGGAGTCACTCTGGAACATGCTCTGACTTACAAGAAGCACTACTTAAATACCAAGCAAAAAGTGGGTGTTGGAAATAATATCATACAAAAGCTGACTGGCACAACATGGGATCACAACCAGACACAGTGAAAACATCTGCCTTTGAGCTTTGCTACTCCAGTGTGGAATACATCTCACCATGTTAAAACAGTGGATGTGGCACTTAATGAGACATGCCACATTATCACAGGATGTCTACACCCACACCACTGGAGAAATTATACTGCTTAGCCAGCATTGCATCACCTGATATCTGCTGGGAAATAGCAGCCTGTAAGAAAGGACTAAGGCAGTGGCATCTCTGGTCCATCCTCTGTTTAGATATCAGCCAGCAAGCCATTGTCTTAAATCAAGAAATAGCTTCCTAAGATCTATAGAGATACTCAAAATAACACTTCAGCAAGCGAGAGTCCAAAAGTGGCAGGCCAAAACCCAGAACCTCAATCAGTGGCTGAGACCAGATGAGAAACTCCCTCCTGGGCACACAGATGGCTGAGCAACTTGGAAGGCACTGAACAGACTGCTCTCGCACCACGAGATGCAGAGCCAGTCTTAAGAAATGGGGTTACAAAGTGGAGTCCACAACATGAGAGTGCGGAGAAGAGCAAACCACAGGCCACTTACTACAATGCAGTCTGAGCTTACACATGCACAATGGAGGACCTTCTTACAGTGACACCAGAGGCACTTGAAGTGGCCAGCTTCTGGTCAAAGGAAATCTAGTATAATGCCAAGTTTTTAACTTTGTTTGTGTTTTTAAATACATTCTCAATTGCTTCTGACATGATAAATAAAAATAAATAAATAAATAGCAAAGAGTCAGTTTAAGGGATGTACCATCGTCTACAGGGTAAATAATCATTAGCATGGTGATTTGAGTGTTGAACCGTGACTCTGGAAACCAGGGTTCGAATTCCCGCTTGGCTATTAAAACCCACTGGGTGACCTTGGGCAAGTCACACACTCTTGGCACCAGACAGAAGCACCTTAGGTTTGCCATAAATCAATAGTGACTTAAAAGCACACAACGCAACTCTACTACAAGATGGTTCCAGATGTCCCCTGTCTGGCTGCTGTGATGGACTGGATGAGGACTAACAAGCTGAAGCTCGGCCGATCAGAGTATAGGGTGGCAACCTGTGCTCGACGGGGTTACACTCCCCCTGAGGATACAGGTCACAGTCTGGGGGTCCTTCTGAATTCAGGACTGACACTTGATGCTCGGTGTCAGCAGTGGCCAGGAGGGCCTTTGCACAATTAAAACTTGTGTGCCAGCGGCGTACCTTGTGAAGTCCAACAAAGCCCTAAATGGTTCAGGGGACCTGTCTATCTTCGCGATTGCATCTTCCTGTATGAACCAACATGAGCCCTAAGATCATTCAGGGAGGCCCTTCTCTCGCATCTGCCTCTGTCTCAGGTGTGGTTGGTGGGGACGAAGGAGAGGGCCTTCTCGGTGGTGCCCTCCGAGAAACTATCACCTACTCTGTCCTCCTTTTGCAAGAACCTAAAAACATGGATGCTCCATTGTGCCTTTGATTAAGTAGTTCCAAAGAATTGGCCCTTTAATACCTAAGTTCGGGCACTTTAGCATGGCCCTCCGCTCTACAATCCTGACATTATAAAGCCCAAAGATATTACTCTTGTATCCCTACCACTGAATTTTGCACTTTCCCTTAGCTCTATCTAGGAATTTGCACAAACCCAGAGCCCTCTGAACTCAGCACTTTTATTGTTCTGTGTGGGATTGTTTTTATGATGTTATGTTTTATTGTGATATGTTTTTGTTTTGTTTTGTTTTTATTTTATTGCATTATGTTTTAACTCTGTGCTTTCAGGCTTGTCCCTTTGTAAGTCGCCCCAAGTCCCTCTGGGGAGATGGATACGGGGTATAAAAATTAAGTATTATTATTATTATTATTATTATTATTATTATTATTATTATTATTATTACATCTTTCAGGGTTCCCTGCAAGGGAGAAAGGATTTCCAGCTGACTCTGTAAGGTTGTGACTTTCTGGGTCTCCTCCTTCAGGTGTGTATTGAGCTCCTCAACCTGAGTCAACAAGGCCTCACTGGTTGACCTCAATGCCTCTTGGTTCTGGAAAAAAGAAAGACAAAAAAAAATCACATGAGATTTGAATGGGTTCCTACCTAGACTTGGAACTTGAATCTCATTCAACAGAATTCAGAAAGTTACCTGTTGGAGATGAGTCTCATAAGCCTAGAGGGAGAGAAAATAAAATAATGTATTAATGGGAAACGTCAGGAGAGAATGCTTCTAGAACATGGCCATACAGCCTGAAAAACCTACAACAACCCAATGTGCAAGGAATAAGGGAATGTTTTTGTGTGTGGGATTGGTATTCGCAGTTTTATTGATCCACATCCAACAAAATATGTCCTCTCTAGGCATGTTCTAAATCCTCCAGAGTGACTATATTTCAAGCTGAGGCCAGAAGTCATTCATTCATTAGGGTTCACTATTACCCACATTTTCATATATCATTTAAACGTCTTGGAACGTATTCCCTGTGGATATAGAGATTTTGTAGTATAGGTTTGTAGCATAGGTTTTCTCAGATTCGGGCTTGGTGAAGGCAATTCTACCTTGCAGGGCTGTTGTTGTTAAACTCATAATTGAAAGCCCATATGTGGTCCCAAGCAGCATCTGGCCTATCCCTATTGCAGATTATTTCAAAAAGTGTCCGGAATGACAGAGAATAATAGGGATAGATAGAAAAACCAGTTTCCCAGTGAGTTGGAATACAAATCCTATAACTCTGGGGGTTATGTGTGCTGTGGTTCAATCATTCTGCAGACTGTCAGGTTGGGAAAAGCTTGTACAGAAATGCAAGGAGAGTTTGCAAGTGACAAGTTTGAAGTAACAGGACTTACTTCCTGTAAGCCAGCAAACTGAGCTTTGGTTAGCGCCAATTCTGAATTATTTGCCCTTAAAAGCTTCTGGAGCCGGATCAACTCCACATTGTCTCGGATGGCAGCCCTGGAAGGTCGAAGGAAAGAAAAGTGAGTATGCATCTGAATACATGGACACCCAATTATTTCCATCATCTTCGCCCCTTGAGTTGGAAATGATTATTTATATTAAGGCTGAAACAAAATGAGCACTGTCAAGCGATTCCTGCTGATCTTACATTGATATTCATAAATCTGAATTAGTATATTTTGGGTGAAAAGTCAGTTCTCCATATTTGTTGGGCTTAGGGGTGCAGGACCTCCATGAAAGTGGAACAATTCTACTTGGATCTATTTTTAATAATAATAATAATTATTATTATTATTATTATTATTATTGACTCTGGCAGAAGCCAGTAAAGGTGGTCCCAGTGGTGATTGGCACACTGGGTGCAATGCCTAAAGACCTTGGCCTGCACTTAAAAACAATCAGCACTGACAAAGTTACCATCTCTTAGCTGCAAAAGGCCACCCTACTCGGATCTGAATGCATTATTCACCGATACATCACACAGTCCTAGACACTTGGGAAGTGTCCGGCGTGTGATCCAATACAACAGCCAGCATAGTGATCTTGTTTGCTGTGGAGTCATCTTGTTGTGTTCCAAATAATAATAATAATAATAATAATAATAATAATAATAATAATAATAGGTTCTTGTGGTTTTTTCGGGCTATAGGGCCATGTTCTAGAGGCATTTTCTCCTGATGTTTCGCCTGCATCTATGGTAAGCATCCTCAGAGGTCTCTGAGGATGCTTGCCATAGATGCAGGTGAAACGTCAGGAGAAAATGCCTTTAGAACATGGCCATATAGCCCGAAAAACCTACAACAACCCAGTGATTCCGGCCATGAAAGCCTTCGACAATACATAATAATAATAATAACTTGTATTCTGCCCTATCTCCCCAAGGAGATTCCAGCATATACAGACACAAAGAGATTTAAAGACGGGCTCAAAGCCAACCTTAAAAACTCTGGCATAGACACTGAGAACTGGGAAGCCCTGGCCCTTGAGCTCCAGCTGGAGGTCAGCTGTGACCAGCAGTGCTGCAGAATTTGAAGAGGCACGAATGGAGGGAGAAAGAAACGTGCCAAGAGGAAGGTGCGTCAAGCCAACCCCGACTGAGACTGCCCTCCACCTGGAAACCATTGCCCTCACTGCAGGAGAAGATGCAGATCAAGAATTGGGCTCCACAGTCACCTACGGACCCACTGACAGAACACCAACCTTGGAGGACTATCATCCTCGGGCTACGAGGGATCACCTAAGTAAGTAAGTAAGTAATACAGACACAAAGGCAAACATTCAATGTCTAGAAACAACAAAACACAGATACACAGACAAAGGTAAAGGCTTCCCCTTTTATCGGCTCTGGGGATGGTGCTCATTTCCATTTCTAAGCTGAAGAACCTGCGTTGTCTATAGACACCTCCTGGATCATGTTGCCGGCATGACTGCATGGAGTCCCATTACCTTCCTGCCAAAGCGGTACCTATTTATCTACTCAGATTTGCATGTGACTTAGGGCATTTTATCCTAGCACTTAAGACCTGGCTTTTTACTAGAGCATTTGACCCATGTTAATTTTAATATTTGTATGTATGTGTTTTATCCTGTATAATTTCTGCAATGTAAATCACCTGGAGCATCTCAGATGGAGGGCGATTAATAAGTAATTAAAGATGATGATGATGATGATGATGTTTTCGAACTGCTAGGTTGGCAGAAGCTGGGGCTAACAGCAGGAGCTCACCCTGTCATGCGGATTCGAATCACCATCTTTCCGGTCAGCAAGTTCAGCAGCTCAGCAGTTTAACCTCTTGCACCACCGTGGTATAATCTAAGAGAATACCTGTCTAGGGATGCATCTATTCTATATAGTAGAATTAATGCAGTTCAACATCACTTTAACCACATAGGATTCCACAGCATTGAGTTAAAGTGTTGTCAAACTGCTTTAATTTGACTGTGCAGATGCACCCTTGGGAGTTGGCCATAAAATCGTACCTAGGGAGACTAATCAAATCTGCAAATAATTAAATAAAAAAATTGCTTCAAAATACTTAAGACCCCGATCTTTCAGTTTCTCCAGCCTGTCACTTAGCTCTGCAAGTGCCCTCCAATCCCTTGATCTAAATCTAACTTTGTTTGTGAACCAATTAACTGCTCCATGGAACAAGCTTTTCTCAGTCTTCACAGACTTTAATTAGCTTTCTAATTAGAGGAGTCAGCTTCAACCTTGTTTTTATATAAAAGTGTGTGCAATATCTGTGGCTCTTCCTTGGAGAAAGGAGAGATGGGTGAGAAATTGGTGCTGGTGATGATGGTGTTTAGTCTCTTACAAACTGCTTCTTGGCAGAGGGTTGGACTGGATGACCCACAAGGTCTCTCCCAACTCCATGATTCTATGAACACACATCCATATCATCCTTACAAATTGGATAGTACAAGTTTGGGTGGACCAAAGACAATGCATTTAGGTGGGATAAGAAGCAGTACCGACGTTCCTGGACTTCTACGTGACGCTGCTGAGAGTGGGTGCTTTCTGGGTCCGTCTCTTTACCATGCGGGGAAATGGAATCCCGGTCTGGTCCCAGTTCTGCCAGAACCAGACTATGGTGGCTCCTAAAGGGAGAATTAAAGAAGATTCAACTCTCCAGGAAAATAACAATGGGGGAAAATGGCAATCAATATTCAACAGTGTCATGGCTGGAAATTGGGGGTGCCTCCACAAGTTGTTGAACTCCAACTCCTAACAACCACCATAGTCAATGGTAGGAATGGTGGGAGTTGTTGGAGCATACAAAGAATCAATGAGTATGTTTGTATCAACTGTAAAATAAGATTACGCTGATTGGTCGAGCAATGCCTGGGGAGCAGGCTGAGCCTGGGACTTGTGGTTACTGTTACATTTTTGTTCAGGCTTGAGCTTTGCAAGTGCAGAGAGAGAAGAAAAGAGAAACAGAGAGACAGAGTTTGGCGTGTGCTCTCGCTTCATGAGCTGCTGAAGGAGTTTATCCACATGGACAGAATAATAACATTTTAAATCTCTCATAAAGGGCATTATGTAAGTTGATACAACTAATCACATTGTACATATGTTGTCCTGAACTACGAAGGGTAAACTACTTGTTCTTTACTGTTTACCTGCATGGTATGTTTTCTTTCTCTGGCAAGGCGACGTGTGGGCTGATCAAACGTGAACGTTGTTGTTCATTCGTTCAGTCGTCTCCGACTCTTTGTGACCTCACGGACCAGCCCACGCCAGAGCTCCCTGTCGTGAACTACACGTGGTTTATTTTACATTACGCCACAGGAGTTTCAATCAACAACATCTGGAGAGTCATATGGTTCTCACCAACAGATTTGAACTGTTGGTGAGAACCATTGCATTGCATTCTTCAAATTGAAACACAGCACTAAGAAATAATTACTTTTCTGGGCTTCAACTCACAGGATTGCCTTGGGAGTTGTAGTCTAAAAAGGTAAGCTTTGGGGATTCTTATTGTGGTGTTTCCTTTCCTGGCACAACTTTACACTGTGAGCAAGGCAAGCCTGTTGCAGATACCCACTGATCCACAAAAAAAATGGTGGGCAAGAGACAAGAAACCCAAGCTATATCCACAATGCAGAATTATAGCAGTTTGGTCCCACGTGAAATGCCACGGCACAATGCTATGGAATTTGGTAGGTTGTAGTTCTGTGAGATATTTAGAGATCTCTGGGGCCACAACAAGCAACAAACTCCAGGATTTCTCAGGAAGGCGCCGTGGCAGTTGAAATGGTATCAAACTGCTATAATTCTGCAGTGTGGATGGTCTCCTAGTAAATATGCGAAGGGGTAAATAAGACTCACAGTCTTTCCATCTCTGCTCGGGATCCCTCCAGAACACGATCCCCATATCTTGGAGGGGCTGTGTGGGTTGGTCTGGCCACTGGCCCTTGCAGCCGCATCCCTGTGGAGACAGAAGGAGAGAATTACAAGTTGGAGGTTGTGTCTCCCAGTTCCTCCCTTGTGTGATGGAAAGCTACTCTGGACTGTCCAAAGGTCTTGGGATCTGGTTGGAGTGGATGCAGCTCAAGATAAATGCCTATTCCTCCAAAAGTTTTGAACTGGAAACAAGAGAGCAGGTCAAGAGAACTAATGTCTACTTCTCATGCCCTTAATCCAGAAATTCCTAAACTCTAGCCTTCTCAGAGTGTTGGACTTCTACCCCCCAAAGCCTTAGATACCCTGGCTAATGATCAGAGATTCTGGGATCTGAAGGGTTTGGTGCCCATCCTGGGAGAAGAACCTGGAAGACCTGAGTTTGGGTAACACCCTTTTAGGACACTCTCATCAATGATGCTTTGAATGATGATGTGACTGTTCCCACAGAACTCTACCATTGATGTGGGTTTTCCTTCTGACATTTATGGTTGTGGTAGTGAATGTTTCTCTGCCCCCCACCACTTCTTTTGAGATAAAAAACGACCCCCAAAATCTGGATCAACCTATCAATAGGTTAATGATGGAAATGCTCTGTGCTCCACACCATCTTGGGCAATGGAAGTGGAGCAGAATGGCAGCAAATTTTAATAGGGAGCTACTGCATAAATAGAGGCCCTGGTAAACCACAAAACTGCTGAACTTGCTGACCAAAATGTTGGCAGTTTGAATTCGGGGAGGGAGAGCTCCCGCTGTCAGCCCCAGCTTCTGCCAACCCAGGAGTTAGAAAATATGCAAATGTGAGTAGATCAATAGGTACCGCTCCAGCAGGAAGGTAATGGCACTCCATGCAGTCATGCTGCCCACATGACCTAGCAGGTATCTATGAACAACGCCGGCTCTTCGGCTTAGAAATGGAGATGAGCACCAGAGTTGGACAATGTCGAGTTAATGTCAAGAGGAAACCTTTTTTGCAGCATACACATCTCCCCTTGTTTCATGGACAAACAATGCTGTGTCAAACCTAACTTTGACATTGCCAGAACATCTTCCAAAGTTCCCAAGGGCAACAAATCAGCCTAACAGAAAGGTTGACCGCATGGCACACACAAGATGTACTTTCCAAGATGGGTACCACTGGCCATCTCCTAACACCCACTTTCTAAAGTTACAAACTCATTATAGACAGTAGAGCCAACCCGAAAAATGAAGCTTGTTGTCTTTACTTTTAGACCCTAAAATGAGTATTCCACCATCCAAGAGATGGACACAATATCACCCCAAACCCTCTTACCTTTGGCTAGCCTCTCCGGCACCCGCCCAACAGCAGTGTTTGCCCGTCGAAGTCCTGTGTTGACCCTGGGGGTGACATAGCTATATGGACAATGCCGCCCACAGCCCTGAAGCTGCAGCTGCTGCTTGTAAAAGAGGAGACGGTTCCTCAGCCCCTCGTTGTGTCTCTCCAGCTCCCGAACCCGTTCCTGCATCTCTTCCAAATCTTCCTCCAGGTCTAGGTTCCGTCCAGAACTGCGAACCCAGCTCCCTGGTCTCCCGTCAAGTTGGACTCGCTCATGGCTGAGTCTTGAGAGCTTGGTGCCCATCCTGGGAGAAGAAAACATTTCTCAAAAAAGACACCAGCTTCACTTGCTACAAGAAGGACCCCTGTATTCTGGAATATAGACCTAGAAAGTAACTTTTTGAATTTAGGGTCATTGTCTGGGCTTTTTCACCAGGGTGTGAATCACTGCTTGAGAAGAATGTTGACCAACGTATTGTCAAAGGCTTTCATGACTGGAATAACTGGGTTGTTGTAGGTTTTTTGGGCTACACGGCCATGTTCTAGAAGCATTTTCTCCTGACGTTTTACCTGCATCTATGGCAAGCATCCTCAGAGGTTGTGAGGTCACAACCTCTGAGGATGCTTGCCATAGATGCTGGTGAAACATCAGGCGAGAATGCTTTTAGAACATAGCCATATAGCCCGAAAAACCTACAACAACCCAATGTTGACCAAGCTGGAAAGAATTTGTAGAACAAGAAGACTGATGAAGAAACTGGAAAAGGAATCATGGGAAAAATTAAAAGAGCTTAATCTTCATAGACCCTGCTCCCTTTCCACCCATAATTGCTACAAGAAGGACCCCTGTATGCTGGGGTCCTTCTTGTGTGTGATTTGTTTGTTTCTTCAATTTGCAGAGTCTCGCAGTCCTTGCATTCTGCTACTAAAAGTCACTATAGTACAAGTGGCTTCATTCTATAGTTCCCAATCTGTGGTCCTCCACAAAGCAGCTCCCATAATTCCTACCAGCTGGGTGAAAAGGGAGTTGAAGTCCAAAACACCTGGAGGACCAAAGATTAAGAACCACTGGTCTAGGTGAAAATAATGCAGTGTACTCAATGGTGTCACCTGGTGGCAGAATTCAATATTAGGCTTAACAGAATTATTGTGAATTATTAGGAGCCCCCCGGTGGTGCAATGGGTTAAACCCTTGTGCTAGCAGAACTGAAGACCGACAGGTTGGAGGTTCGAATCTAGGGGCAGCATGGATGAGCTCCCTCTGTCAGCTCCAGCTCCCCTTGCGGAGACATGAGAGAAGCCTCCCACAAGGATGGTAAAAGATCAAAACATCCGGGCGTCCCCTGGGCAATGTCCTTGCAGACGTCCTTGCCAATTCTCTCAGAACAGAAGCGACTTGCAGTTTTTCAAGTTGCTCCTGACACGAAAAGAACCCTGAATTATTAGGCTCTTTAAAAAAAAAGCTAGCTAACATATGTTAAATAGCAAATTATTGACCTGTAAAAATTATCAATCACACCACTAAGATGACTGAAAGTTAATTGACAATGCATTTCACATTGAGCAATAATTATTTTTTAAAAAAATCTTATCATCTTCAATACCTTTTGATCCTGTCCTCTTGTTTCCGGGCAAACTCTTTGAGCAGTAAATTTTCATCATGAAGTCGTAGAAATCCATCCTCCAGCTCTGTGCGGGTCACTCGGGCTATCTGGCGCCGTGTCCTTGCCAATGAGCGTGACCCTGAAAACAAATAAGAGACAAGGGAAGATTTTAATCAACTATGAACAGAATATGAAGAGTTGCCAGAATCATGCTGTAAAAATTTGTTTTATAGTTTTGGGGAGAGCCAGCATGGTGCAGTGACTTGGGCATTGGACTCTGACTCTCAACACCAGGGTTCAACACCCTCTCTGGATAAATCCTGCCATGGGTTTATCTTTGTGTCACCTTAAGCTGCAAACAACTTGAAGGCACACAGCCTTCAAGTTTCTTGCTCATTATGAATTTTCTGTAGGCCTAAAAACTGTTAAGGCATCAGGTTCTGTCTCATCTTGAATACTAAGCTAGCTAGGGTCTGGATGGGAACTGCCGAGAAATAGCAAGTCTGTAGGCTGCATTTCAAAGGAAATGAATGGCAAATCATTTTTGGGTATTGTTGAAGGCTTTCATGCTGGAACCACTGAGTTGCTGTAGGTCAGTGGTTCTCAACCTTCCTAATGCCGCGACCCCTTAGTACAGGTCCTCATGTTGTATTGACCTCCAACCATAACGTTATCTTCATTGCTACTTCATTACTGTCATTTTGCTACTATTATGAATCGTAATATAAATATCTGATATGCAGGATGTATTTTCAGTCACTGGACCAAATTTGGCACAAATACCTGATACGCCCAAATCTGAACACTTCACTTCACTTTATTTCTTAATTAGTCGCTCTCCACCAAGGTGCTCCGAACGACTCACAATTTAAAATAGCATTTCACAATATAAAAACATTCAACATAAAAACATTCAACAGTGACTATTTGGTAAATTAGATCTGATTACTTAAATGCACAACCAAATAGAAAACTGGTGGGGTTGGGGGTGATTGATTTTGTCATTTGGTAATGCTGGAGTTGCAGGGATTTACAGTTCACCTACAATCAAAGAGCATTCTGAATTCCACCAATGATGGAATTGAATCAAACTTGGCACACAGAATTCCCATGACCAAGAGAAAATACTGGGAAGGTCTGGTGGACATTGACCTTGAGTTTTTGGAGTTGTAGTTCACCTACATCCAGAGAACACTGTGGACTCAAGAAATGATGGATCTGGATTAAACTTGGCACAAATACTCAATATGCCCAAATGTGAACATTGCTAGAGCTTGGAGAAAATAGACTTTGCCATTTGGGAGTTGTAGTTGTTGGGATTTATAATTCACCCACAATGAAATAGCATTCTGAACCCCACCGATAGAATTGGACCAAACTTTCCACAAAGAACCCCCATGACCAACAGAAAATACTATGTTTTCTGATGGTCTTTGGCGACCCCTCTGACACCCCCTCGCGACCCCCACAGGAGTCCCGATCCCCAGGTTGAGAAACACTGCTGTAGATTTTTCGGGCTGTATGGCCATGTTCTAGAAGCATTTTCTCTTGACGTTTTGCCTGCATCAATGGCAGAGGTTGTGAGGTTTTGAGGATGCTTGCCACAGAGGCAGGCGAAACGTCAGGAGAAAATGCTTCTAGAACATGGCCATACAGCCCGAAAAACCTACAACAACCCATTTCTGAATATTCCTTGTGTCCAGGAAATCCTTTGAAATTCATAGATCACCATAAGTTGGTGGGCAGCTTGAAAACACATGCCCACACGTTCTGTTCACTATTTTATTGGTTGTTCCTTTCTCAATCCAGTACATTCTTCACTTCCTGCAGTAAATCTACATTTCAAAATGATTCTTTTTAAGGTTGTTTGCATCAAAGTGCAGAATTAATTCACTTACAGATGAACTAAGAATGCATGGCTGCTTACCGTGTCAATTTCCAAGGCTAATTTTACATTCTTGCTGCCTGTTCCCGCTACATCAGGCCAGCATAGTAATAATAATTATATGGTAGGCTTCATGTGACAAACACGGTGAAACAATTGACTGCTTGTCATGACTTCCTATTGCCTACCTTTCATTAAGGATTTCAGCACAGGGGGTTTCACAGGGAGGACAGCAGATGAGGAGACATCTGGAAGAAAGGAGGCTCATTTTCAGTATAGAACATCATCAAATTACATATGTTTTATCTATGGTGAGAGAGAGATGATCACATAGATTGGTACTATTGAAAGTGATGGCCCATGGATCAATGTCAATCCACAAGCTGCAGGTCTCTGGAGTGTTCCAAGGAAGGTAAGAAACAATAGTAGCCCATGGGATCAAATTTTGTTATGTAATTTCAACTTCCACAAAGACCTCAGGTTTTGGCCCGGCGTGTATAGCTCCAAAAGACCAAATGAGACACAGACAGGTTGAAGGCAATGATCAGAGGGTTATTCTTCCTAGTCGAAAAGGATGTCAGCCGAGACAGAGCTCCAAAAAAATGGACATATCACAATTGTGAACATATAGGTTTACTTACAGCAGTTTGACAGCTATTCAAGACTACCACACTGGCTTCTGATTAATTTGAAATGGTGCCAGCTATCATCCACTTCCTCATAGGTTCTTGGCTTTGTTGGAAGTCATTGATGGTTGGTCCTAGTCATAGCAGGAAATTTAACAAACTGGCATTGGATTATTTTGAAGGTCTGTGTGCATTTATTTATCAACCCAGGAAAGGGGTGCGAGTGAAATAAATGAGGTGGGCAAGAGATAATGAGCTGAAATGGGATCTGATGTCACAGATCTGGCTAATACAATGGTTTTTTTTTTTTTGTCATGTCAGGAGTGACTTGAGAAACTCCAAGTCTCTTCTGGTGTGAGAGAATTGGCTGTCTGCAAGGACGTTGCCCAGGGGACGCCCAGATGTTTTTGATGTTTTACCATCCTTGTGGGAGGTTTCTCTCATGTCTGCGCATGAAGAGCTGGAGCTGATAGAGGGAGCTCATCCGCGTTCTCCCTGGATTTGAACCTGCGACCTGTCGATCTTCAGTCCTGCTGGCACAGGGGTTTAACCCACTGCGCCACCGGGGTCTCCCAGTCAGGTAATCAAAAGGGTGCTCAGCGTGTTGGCGATTTTAATGGACACCCCAAGGAGGGGGTCTGATTTGGCAATATAGGAGAGGAAATGTTCCCAGGAATAAAATAAAATCATATCAGGAGAAATAGAAAAAGACCCAGCAGCTCATTCATAAGTCCATTGTATGTCTTCCCGGGGTATTGTGAAAGGATTATGCCAATTAATGTGTAGATGTCTGAGGTGATTGTACAGTGATTGTGCAACATTCCAGGGGCTTCAGTGAAAGATAGTCTGAAACTAGGGTCAACACGGGCTCCCTAATTCATTCCTATGGAGCTGCAGACTATGGGGTTGATCATGTTGGGGTCTGGATTTCAATAAAAATATGGCATCTATTTCTGGCCAGACCTCCACATTAGATTGCTTAAGAAGCATTGACATAAATTAAACCTTGGATCCTAAGTCAGGACAAAGGCAGGATATGATATTCACTGATTACAGTTGTCCAGTGATATCCTCAGGGATTTAGTTCCAGGACCTTCCATGTATTCCAAAATCTGTGGTATTCAAATTGAGTGTTATCAGTACGCCGATGACACTCAGCTGGTCCTGAAGATGGAAGGCCGACCGGACTCTGTACCCGATTGTTTCCATCAGTGCCTCGAGGCCATTACTGGATGGCTGCGTGCCAGCAGGTTGAGGGTGAATCCAGCAAAGATGGAGATCCTATGGCTGGGTCAACCGGGCAGTGGGGATATCCAGCTGCCTACCCTGGATGGCAAGGCGCTACGCCCGTCATCATTGGTAAAGAGTCTGGGAGTCCTTTTGGACCCTCTGCTGACGATGGAGGCCTAGGTCTCTGCCGTACCGCCTTTTTTCATCTGCGGCAGGCTAGACGGCTGGCCCCCTACCTGTCCAGGGACGACCTAGCTACGGTGATCCAGGCTACGGTCATCTCAAGACTGGACTACTGTAACACCCTCTACATTGGCCTTCCTCTGTCGGTGATCCGGAAGCCCAAGTTGGTACAAAATGCAGCTGCTCGGCTTCTTGCGGGAATTCTGATGAGATGCCACATAACACCAATCTTACTACAGCTGCATTGGTTACCAATTGAGCACCGGATCACTTTCAAAGTGATGGTACTCACCTTTAAGGCCTTGCATGGTCTGGGGCCGATGTACCTGAGGGACCGCCTCACCCCCTACCAACCCCAGAGATCCCTCCGTTCTGAGGACCAAGATCTATTGGAAATTCCCAGTGTCAAGCCCTTGCGTCTAACAGCAACCAGACGCAGAGCTTTTACAGCAGTGGCACCATCACTCTGGAATACTCTGACACCTGAAGTCAGTGCCTTGCGGGACTTATCAGCTTTCCGCAGGGCACACGCATTTAAATTTCGACAGGCCTTTGATTTTTATATTGCTGTTTTTAAATTGTTTTAAATTGTTTTTAAATTGTGTTAGATTTTAGCCATTCTTGTAAGCCGCTCCGAGCCCCAGGGGAGTGGCGGCATATAAGTTCGAATAATAAATAAATAATAATAATAATAATAATAATAATAATCTTTATTTATACCCCACCACCATCTCCCCGATGGGGATTCAGGGTGGAACAAAATAGCATCCCTTATATAAAATGACAAATCAATATTAAAAATATTTTCAAGACATGACTACCATGTGAAAAACGTGCATGGACAATGCCATTTTCACTCTGCTTGCAGGGGGAAAAGACAAGATTTTAGTACTTAAGGGAGTGTTGAAGAATTCAAAATCTAGCAAAGAATTCAAAATCCCTCACCAAACTACAAAGCTTGTGCTTTCATAGGATGGAGTCATGACAATTAAAGTAGTATCAAATTCTGTAATATGGGTACCACATATATATACAGATATTTTGGGCTCTGGACATGCCCACACCTGAGGAAGGTTTCATATCTTATTGTGTGGCAGTCATAGAGAGTCCTTGTGCCCCAGAATCGTGACCTTAGAAGACCGACCTTGTATGGCTGCTATCACTGAGGGCTTCTGGTTGGTGTCTCGGACTGGCAGGTCCCCTGCTGTTTCATCCAACAGGAGCAAAGACATGTTTAGATAGAAAGGTATATGGTCTAGAAGAAAGACAAAATGACAAAGTTGGTCATGATCAAGTTCCATTCTCCTGAGCTGATCAACTCTCAATGATGTGGAACAGATGGGACTCAATTATACAAAAGTTTTTTAGATAGAAACCTGGATACATGTAGCATCCAAAGATGCATCTAAAATGTAGAATGAATGCAGTTTGACACCACTTTAACTGCCATGGCCAAATGCAAAGGAATCCTGGAATTTGTAATTTAGTGAGGCACTAGCAATTTTTTAACAGAGAACGCTAAACATCTTGCAAAACTAGAATTCCCATGATTCTATAGCACTGAGAAATAACAGTTGAAGTGGTTTTAAACTGCATTAATTCTACAATGTAAATGAACCCCAAGTGTGGTCAAGATGGCAAATGTTACTCATGGGGAAGAATACACAAACTAGAAGATGTGCAGCAGTTTTCTATTGTCTGAGCCTAATGAGAAGGGCATGATTTCCTTTCCCTTTTTGTTGGGTTAATTGAGCAGGAACAACTTTTGCACTTTGATTTCATTTTGCAGAAACTGAAGTTCACTGAGGACCATGTAGTGAAAGGGCTCTAATAAGTCCAAAAATCTGGCTTTATTGTACTCATGTATTAGCCACTGAGGCTATAATAGAGTGACTGCAGACCAATTCTTGGGACTTCATCACACTGAAGCAGGGAAGTGCATGGTAGAGTAGAGCTCAGTCTGACTCAGTTTTGAAATGAAACGGATTACCCACCATCCCTCCCTATGTTCTTTGTGGGGGAAAAACCCTCCACTCTTTAAAATGTCAACTGTTACGCATCTTCAATTCTGGAAGCAAAGAGGCAGGGAGGGAAAGTGGTGATGCTCTTTCTCTCTCTCACCTGCCCCACAGAGAAGGGTATGGACCTTAGAAAACTATAACTCCCAAGATTGCATAGTATGGAGCTATGGTATTGAAAGTAAGGTTGAGCTACGTTCATTCTACAGTATAGATGCACCCAGAGAAAGATATGGACCTTGGGAAAATATAACTCCCAGGAGGACTCAAACACATGGAGCCATGTCATTTAAAATGAGGTGCAAGAGCATTTATTCGTTACTGTAAATTCACCAAGAGAAGGGTGTGGACACTTGAAAACTGTAACTCCCAGGACTGCGTAGTATGTAGCTATTGTATTTAAAGTAAGGTCCAGCTGCATTCATTCCACAGTGTTGATGCACCCAGAGATGGGTATGGACCTTGGGAAACTATAACTCCCAGGAGGACTCCATCGTATGGAGCCATGGCATTTAGAATGGGGTGCAAGGGCATTCATTCCATACTCTAAATGCACCAAGAGAAGGGTGTGGACATTGGAAAACTGTTAACTCAGAGGACTGCATAGTATCGAGCTTTGGTATTTAAAGCAAGGTCCAGCTGCATTCATTCCATAGTGTAGATAAACCCAAGGATGGGTATGGACTTTGGGAACCTATAACTTCCAGGAGGATACAATTTCATGGAGCCATGGCATTTAAAATGGGGTGCAAGGGCATTCATTCCATACTGCAAATGCACCAAGAGAAGTGTGTGGACATTGGAAAACTGTAACTTCCAGGACTGCATAATATGGAGCTGTGGTATTTAAAGCAAGGTCCAGCTGCATTCATTCCACAATGTAGATGCACCCGGAGAAAGGTATGAACCTTGGGAAACTATAACTCCCAGAATGACTACAGCGCATGGAGCCATGACATTTAAAGTGAGGTATAAAAGGCATTCATTCCATGCTGTAAATGCACCAAGAGAAGGGTGTGGACTTTGGAAAACTTTAACTCCCAGGACTGCATAATATGGAGCTATAGTATTTAAAGCAAGGTCCAGCTGCATTCATTTCACAGTGTAGATGGGCTCAGGCGATCTGCCATTCCTCATGTCCTGCCACTCTCATTATGGTCATTTTGCTTTGAAGATATTAGTGTATAGATGTCTACAGGCCCGTAGTCAGGATTTCGATTCGGGGTGGGTGGGTGAGTTTTTTTTCAGGGGGGGTTTGGGGGGGCTGAGTTTCGGGGGGGGGGGGGCTGAGTCTGAGTGAAATAGGGTCTACCCTAGCAAACCTTTTGTATCATTACCCCAATACCCCCATGCATATGGGATATATTGAGTATGGTGATCAGATCATGATATGAATAAACATAACAGTTTAAATAATGCACCAGTAAGGCCTTTTCGCGAACCACCATGAGAATTTCGGGGGGGGGGGGCTGAAGCCCCTCAAGCCCCCCCCCCCGGCTATATGATATAAACCTGCCCATACTTTAAAAAAACACTCCTGATCAGTCTACCTACAGGCCTATCATTAAAATCAGTAAGACTAGCCCAGACTAAGAACAGATACTTTTTAGTGGTGACCCCACTGCCCTTGGAAGTTTCCAGCCAGCTCAATCTGTGACAGTGTTTAAGATGTTCAAAAACATCCTTTCCTTGACAAAAATAACTTCTCACACTTTTTGATGCTATTTGGCTACTGCTGCTATATTTCGTTTTAATTGGCTTCTCTGTCGAGGCAACTGAGATGTTTTAAAACACATCAACCAACAACCCTTTTCCTTCAGTAGGGACAGCTACTTCGGAACTACAAATGGGAGAGAAATGAAAGAGCTGGTGAACTGAATGGTGTTTCGAAATTATATTTTATTTAAGATCAAAGTCAAAATCTCCTGTTTTTTCTCCACCCGACAGCCCCAGGCTTTTGAAGTTCTTCCCTCTGCAGCCGGTTGCTAAAAGCAGAATTTACAGCACTGCATAACGCTCTCTCTTTCACGCCCACTTCTTCATCTGGTATATATAAATCCTCTCTATAACACTCCTCTTTGTGTCTCCTCTGACTACCTCTTTGTATGGCCTGGAGAAACGCTTTATCTTCCCAGCTCCACAAAACTGTTAGAGTCAGGACAGATTTTCTTCTCATCGCTAATCTCTTGCCATCTGTCATCCTAACCAGCGGTTTTAAGGGCACGTCCGCATCCTTTCCTCCCAACCAGAGCTTGGACTTCCACACCCAGACCTTGCAAAACCATAACTCCCATGATTCCATAGCATTGAGCCATGACAGTTAAAGTGATGTAAAACTGCATTAATTCTACAGTGTAGATGACCCTTGTTAACATGGAACTAACAAAACCATGAAAATGAACAAAATCTGGCTACCAGTATAAAAAAGTCTAAAATTACAACAGCACAACAACAGAGAGGAAACAAACAAGGACATCTAATCACCTCTCAACAAAAGTTTGCTCCAGGCACTGTCAGGCCATTATATGCGAACTGGCACAATTTATTTATTTATTTATTTACAGCTTTTATATTCAGCCCTTCTCACCCCACAGGGGACTCAGGGCGGATTACAGTGTACACATATATGGCAAACATTCAATGCCAATTTTTGACATACAAACATATACAGACATACACAGAGGCTATTTAACTTTTTTTCTGGCCGCCAGGGGAGCTGTCGCTTTCATCGTCCATCTGCGACGCTGATGAAGCACTTCCGCATTCCCCGCATGCTTCCCCGCTGGAATGCTTTGCTGGAGTCTTCTTTATGGCCTCATAAATCAGTTAATTTAGCCTCCCCACACTTTAAGGTGGTACCTTATTTTCCTACTTGACAGATGCAACTGTCTTTCGGGTTGCAAAGGTCGACAACAGGCTACACACAACTGGTTGGAAACCCGCTCCAACCCGGGCTGGCTTTGAAACATTTGAAATAGTTGAAACATTCACAACTAGCTCCAGCAGACAAGAGTCCTTTGTCCCACCCTGGTCATTCCACAGATATATAAATCCTTTTTCCTAGTTCCAACAGACCTCACTACCTCTGAGGATGCTTGCCATAGATGCAGGCGAAACATCAGGAGACCATGGCCATATAGCCCGAAAAACCCTACAACAATACCAGTTCTGTCATCTCCTAGTTTATTGTTGTTGATTCTCCTGTTTTTGATCTTGCTATTGTAGTAGTAGATAGGAGAGATAATACCAAGAGCAATCCATTGTTTGGAGGCAGAAAAGTACATTTATTGTCAGCTGAGACTCTGGTGTGGAATCTCATCCAAAAGTGAACCAGAGTGAGGATAAAGGCGTTGTCTTTCCCTTTTATACATCTTCGAATGCAGGCAAACAAAGAAACATGCTTCTACATACGTAACATCATAACTACGTCACCTTAAGCATCGTATAAATATCAAATTATATCTTCCTACATGCAAAGGGCATATGGTGGAGGCTCCTTCTCTGGAGGGTTTTAAACAGAGGCTGGATGGCCATCTGTCGGGGTTGCTTTGAGTGTGATTTTCCTGCTTCTTGGCAGGGGACTGGACTGGATAGCCCACAAGGTCTCTTCCAACTATGATTCTATGATTCCATTATTCTATGATTTTATGGAAACCCACTTGGTGAACTTGGATAAGTCACAGCCTCTCAGCCTCAAAGGAAAACAAAGTCAATCCCCTCCTCAACAAATCTTGCCAAGAAGACCCCATGATACAGTTGTCTCAAGATTGCCACAAGTTGGAAATTACTTAAAGGCAACTAACATGGGAGAAAACATTTTTTTCTTAGTTGCACAACTCTGGGGCTGCCATCAAAATGGATTGATGAACAGGAAATTCTGCATCAAACAGCAAATTGTGGTCAGCTCTATGACTCCATGCTACATAAAAGGAGTATAATTTTAGTTATAGGGAGTATGTGTTGAGTTTATTAGTAACCATAAGATTTACATTCTTTACAAGTTCTCCTGGACAACTCAACAAGATTTGCATTGTTTATAGGTTATTTATAAAAACAGGAAACAAGGTGCTGACGACAGTTTCCAAAACAACATGACATTTGTAACTACAGGCAGGCCCCGAGTTACAAACAGCTGACTTAACAAATGATTTGTAGTTAAGAACGGAGGTGTGACAACAGGAAGTGAGAGAAATCTACCACTCAGAAGGGAAATTCATG